GGCAAAATGAAAAGAGAAAACCAAAATATAAAAATTAAATTGCAATCAAGAAAAGGAAGAACTGCTTCGTTAAAAACGAATAATACGCAAAGCCTATAATTTTGAAGCCAATGAGCATTTTAACCCTTTAGCAAAGAATATCACATTATCTTTCATTCTCCATTTTTTTTGTGTGTTGCTTGTTGATGTGAGTTTTTTGGGGACTTTGTTTTGGGTGTTCTTTTGGGGTTTGGAGGGTTCGAAGTGAGGATACCTATTATAACTCAGAACTTGCCCTAAACTAGAGCTAATCTTCAATCTCTTCTACGAATCACTAATTGTCAGTGCCCTTCTGTTGCTGATCTAATAACTCCTTCATAAATCATTTGAAGTTGCTGATAATTGGGCAGAGGAGGTCTTGTGATGTGCTTTGTCTGCAATAAAGCTGAATCTGTTGCAAAATGTATTGCTTCCTGAATTATTACCAGATTGACCTCTAATTCAGTCAAGAAAATCTTCCAGAACTTGCAATTTGGCTTAAAACTAAGCTAAACATGTGTGACAATAAGTAAAGCTCCTAGTGAGCACCCCTGAACTGATAAGTCTTAAAATTCAAAAACCCTCAACAATCCCCACCAAAAATGCGCTTCATACCCCATTCTTCCTCTCATCACCAAACTCATTTCATCAATTTTTTTCCCCTTTAAATCTTTTCTGCCTGCACATTGTGCATTGAACAACAACAACAAAAATTATTCTTCATTTCATGTAAATTAAATGTTTTTCTTTTTCCTTCACTCTTAACTTCTTATTATCACAATAATACACCATGCAACTTCATGAAAAAAAGAGTTTATAAAATGAAAATAATTTTCCTTGTTTTTTTGTTGTTGTTGATTATTTCGGAATCGAAATAACAGAAGAATGCAGTATAGTTTGGGCCCCGTTTGAACGAAGAAGAAGAGGAAAATAAATTAAATATTTGGGCTCTTTTTCCTGAATTAAATCAAGTTCGTTTCATTATAATTTTCATGGAGTTGAGTTTGCGTTGAATTGAGTCAAGAAGAAATGCTTTCTTTGGGGGGCTTGTGGACTGTTGGGTGACAAGTGGATATGGATTTTTGTAGGGGCTTTGAGTTTTAAGGCATGAATGAGCTTAGTTGTGGAGATATTTGAGGATATCGGTTAAGGTTCAATGATAATATAACTTAAGAATTATATAGAATTATTAAGGGATATTTAGGGTTATTTGGGAATATTTAGGGTTATTTGTGGATATTAAGGGTTATTTGTATATATTTAGGGTTATTTGGGGATTTTTGGGGTTATTTGGGGATATTAAGGGTTATTTGAAGATATTAAGGGTTATTTGAGGATATTAAGGGTTATTTGAGGATATTTAGGGTTATTTGAAGATATTTAGGGTTATTTGAGAATATTTAGGGTTATTTGAGGATATTTAGGGTTATTTGGGAAATTTATACTTTTTAAAGTAAAGCTAGTAAAAAAATTTGATGATACTCTAGGTTAACATTCCAAAATTAATTCTGAAAAGGCACTCTTTTCGCCATTAATCACATTCCATAACCTCCTGTCACCCAATCGCACCATCATTGAGCACATTACATATTTTTCATCGGTTCCATACAATTACAATCGCAACCACTTTACTTCATTTATTTAGTACTTCAAGCAATATGAAAATGAAAGAAAGAAATTTGTGTGTAAGTCTATAATCATCGTTGAATCTAAATATCTTTAGTTGAAGAAACTTGTTTCTTCATTTTCGTTGTTCTTGCCTATAAAAAAATCACTGAATAAGAATTGATTCAAGAAATTGGCATTTCATAATTTTCTTTCCACATGAAACATATTTTAAATTATTAAATTCAGGCACAACTTTTATAATATTTATTTTTTATTTTGTTGTGTTGTTTTTATTTATAAATAATTTTTCGTTTTGTGTTGCTGTGTTCTGGATAATAGGAAGAAGAGTAATGCTTTGTCTGGATGTCAATTGAATACACGAATGGAACAAGTCGGTTAATTGATCAGAAATCCAGCACCAAGCCGGTGTGACTCTAGCATAGTGCTGGTTTCAAATTGAAGCCAGCACCATACTAGAGTCATGCAAGCTTGGCGCTAGATTTCTATTCGATTATCAGGTTTGAGCTATTCGGGATAGATCTTCATGAATTAGAGGTCATTTGAGATGCAAATTTGGGCTTACAGGCAAGATCTTCCAAATTTTAGGGTTTCTAATTTTTTTTTGTTGAATCAGTCAGTTTGGATCCACAAATATCAACTTTTGACGTTGCCTCTAACAAATTCTTCCAATTTCAAGCGACTGAACTTGTCTACCTGGCTTTTAAGCTACTAGCTCTGGTTTACTGCTAGCATTCCTCTAAACCTTATGTTCTACTAAAGCTAATGAGCTAGTCGTAGTAAAATTAAATCTTCGTTCATTTTTCATAGTAGTGCACATAGACCCTAAAATAACCTAAAAGGTCATCAATGAATCTGACATACTCTTTTTTGAATTTACTCATTAAATGCGCACTAACCTCCCCACTTCAATGACATTACAACTCAATTTTAATGAAAAAAGATAAATGTATTACAAAACAACAACAACAAACTCAATTTCATTAGTATATGTTAATATTAATAATAATATGAAAATTTTTATAAGAACAGCTATGGTTGAATTTAACAAAAAAAAAATAAAAAATATATAAAACAGAACTTTACCAACTGAAGACACGACACACAAGGTACCTTAAAATGAAGTTTCATTATAATATTTTTTTGTGTGGCGGTTTCTTAAGCATCAGTTCCCTCTTCTCGCACATATATACATTTTTTTGTTTCCATATTAAAAATCGATTTTATTAAGATTATTAACTCTTTCATTCTTTCAACTCGAGTCGCCTTCATTCTCTCTCCCTCTCTGTCTTTACGTTCCATTTCGTGTATATATGTTGTGTGTTTGTCGACAAAGAACAACAAGAAGAAGTGGAGAGAGAGAAACAAAAATTAATTGCCATTTTTAAATGCTCGAATGGATGTTCGCTTTATATACAAATTTTTTTATTTTTTCGAACAAAATAATGTATTCCAAAATACAAACGTAGTTTAATGCAAATCACTTTTTTTTCGTTTCGTTCCTTTGCCTAAAAAATGAATATCCATATGAAAATTACAAGAATGAGATGTAAAGGTGGATTGGGTTTGGAATAGAATGGGGGCTAGAGCGCATTTATTAAAATTTAAATTGAGTAATGTGAGATTTCATCTAGCAGAAAACAAGATACAGTTGCATTACAATAGTTTGTAGGATCAAATACTAATCAAAGCCTTGAAAAGTCTTTATAATAGCTGAGCTGAGCATTATTGACATTAAGAAAACCTTAGTTGACCTTAGTTGACCTTAGTGGACCTTAGTGTACCTTAGTGAACATTAGTAGACCTTAGTTGAACTTAGTAGACCTTAATAGACCTTACTAGACATTAATAGATCTTAGGAGACCTTAATTGACCTTATTCGACCTTAGTAGACCTTATTAGACATATTTAGACCTTAATTGACCTAATTAGACCTTACTTGACCTTCATCGACCTTATTAGACCTTAGTTAACCTCATTCGACCTTATTAGACATTAGTAGACCTTAGTAACCCTTAATAGACCTTACTAGACCGTAGTAACCCTTAATAGACCTTACTAGACCTTAGTAACCCTTAATAGACCTTACTAGACCTTAGTAACTCTTAATAGACCTTACTAGACCTTAGTATACTTTAATAGACATGACTTTCGACCGTACTAATCTCAAATTTCATAGAAATCATAGTCATTTGGGCACTACAGTAATCCACGGTTATATGCCCGATTGCTAAGCTTTTATTCTTAAGACTTAGACAGAACCTAGAGGTCATTTCAAGACATATCAACATAAATTAGATCCACAAAGTCTCAAAGCATTAAAAAACTAATTCAAAATAAAAACCGCAACTCTATAAATCCCTCCATTCCTACTAAATTCCCGCTCATATCAACACCATCAGCAACAACAACAAACGGTGCTTTTACGCAAAAGAATGGATTCTTAAAAGACCTTCTCAAATGGCTGATATGGGAAAATAAAAAAAAACTCTTTTTTAGTGTTGTATATTTCGATCCATACACGATAATTTATACGAACGAGGCAAAATGGAAAGACGATTGAGAGACGAACGAGAATAAGAAAAAAAATACAAAAAATTAATTAAAAGCATCTTTAATTATGTTTGTGGTTTTGGACTTATTGTTCGAAAAATTCAAAACTCTTTTGTTTCATTTGCGACAATAAAAAATATTTTCTGTTCATTTCCTAGCCTATTGGATATTATGGCTACATCTACATTATGAATATAGAAACTGAAACAATCAAATGTTAATTACCGATTCATAAAGAAACAATTTAAAAATCTTTTGATTCATCACGAAAGCTAATTGAAAACTAATTAAAAATTTTTGTATATCCTCTAATTTCAGATAACGAACGGAGACGACACCAAGATAAAGAGAAAAAAAATTTCAGTGGAGATAAGAAGAAGAATTATCATCTAATATCGTGTGATTTTAGATTTCATGGTGGACACATATAGACTATAGAATTAGACGATAAGAATTACGGTTTTTGCTGCTGCTACTGCTGCCATAAAATACGATTTTAATCGACTAGAAAGTGTTGAAAGTGTGATTAAGTACAATCTTAGATTACAATCAAATATCTCGGTCTGTGTATATTTATTTGCATCTGAATTGACTAAGTGTGAGATATCTGACTGGATTAAGCATTGTGGGATATATATTAGAGTTAGTAGAGACTTAGAGATTTATAAGTTGCAATATCAGGGGTGTCAAGAGGTTCTGACATCATAAACGTCAGAACTGACAGCATAGAAGTCGAACTGACAGCAAAAAGTCAAAACTGACAGCAAAGAAGTCAAATTCACAGCATAAAAGTCAGAACTGACAGCATTTTAGTCAAAACTGTCAAAGAACCTCCGAAAAGACATCAAAAACTGACACCATACCCTTGCTCTGAAATTCCTAAACATCCAACAAAAGATCAAACAGTGAGCATAACCTTGCAAGATCACAAGAAGATACCCACGTCTCTCTCATTCTCTACTCTGTATATAAACTTTACTGTATCAAGTGAAATGAAATGCTAATAATTTATTGCAGTAATTAAAATTTTGATGATAGGCAATTTACAGTAGTAGGAGAAGGATTGTAATTAATTAGGCACTCTGACGTGAAATTAACAGTAGTGGCTGGATAAACAGAAGAAAGAGAGATACATAAAAAAAATAAAAAAAAATTCTTGACTTTGGATCCAAGACGAAAACAGACACAAAAATGGATGCAAATAATTTTGTCATGTCTTCTTATCAATTTGTAAATTCACTTGCACAATGTTATCCGAATAATACAAGCAACACATCAAACAGTACAAGTAGTAATGGGCCACAAAATGACTATTTTCCTGGCTCTGCCTATAATCCAAATTTATATTCAGGCGCCCCGCAATCACATTATCCCAATCCACAAACATATAATCCACTGTCAGCCACACCAGCGACAACACAACAACCGGGTACAGCCGATATGGTCGATTATACACAATTACAGCCACAGAAATTTATGTTGAATCAACAGCAGGCACTTGGACAGGCAAGTTGCAAATATGCGGCTGATGGACAAGGCAATGGTACACCTACTATTAATCAAACCTCCATTTCAAGTCCACAAGATTTAACAACTGCCCGTGATATTTCACCTAAATTATCGCCAAGTTCTGTCGTGGATAACACAGCACGCTCAATGACTAAACAGCAACATTCAACAACAACTAATAATAATAATAGTAATGTAGCGAATAATAATAGTAAATCTAATAATAATTCGAATACAAGTAGCAGTCATCTTCAATCGACCTCACTACCAATGCGTAGTCCCGATGGTGATGAATCTGATGCATCAAGTGATAGTGGAACTGAGGGAGGCAGCGGTACCGGAAATGGAAAGAAAAGTGAGTAGTTTTGTGCATCTTGTTTTGAAATCTTTGAGTTTGGACACCTTAAAAATTAAGATTTTTCAGCTACTGACTAGGGATCTTTCATAAATGATGTCAAACTTGGGGGGTCTGCTCCTGACTAACATTTTAATGCATAATGAATACTTTATGGCAGATAAAGGTTTAAAAATTTTGTTTACTAGTTGACGTCATTTATGAACGACCCCCATACTGCCCATATCACCCACAAATTCCCTTTCAATATTCCCAAGGTCCCTTACTAAGCACATAACAATAGCAACATTAAACTGTTCCATTTATGCTTTTCTCAGTCAATTTATATCCATAATAATAATATCAAAACTTCATATATGCTCAAACTTAATAAATTGTGACGCAGCCTTCAGATTTCCTCCGCAAACAAGCAAAAATAAAGTTTTTTTTTTCTTTTCTATACCTTTAAAAATTGTTCTGCTGCTTACCTTCAAATTGTATGGAATTTATATTGTGTGTTAAGACAACGTGTATGTGCTCATATGGATTTCTTGTTATGCTCAAACTTAAAGAAAAATAAACGTAAATATGTGTTGTGGATAGACAGAGTGCACCTACCTCTTCCTTTGTGGAGAATTTCGTTAGAATATATGGAAAGCTAGCTTGGTTTTTTTGGGGATTTATACAATGTTGACCCCCAAGAGCGGAAACCCAAGACCTAGTTGACCCAAAGGTCATAAAAGCCTAAGTTTTGCTTTAGCTATGACTTATAGATTGAGTCAGGGGTACGCAACTATATTCTGAATAATCCTAGCTTCGTCCTTAGTAGATTAATAGTAGATGTCGACTTGACCATCCTCTTATCCAACGCTCTTAAATCACACAGGCATTTTAAAAGTTGTAAATTCATTGTGAATGATTAGGAATCGAACTGGTTTTATTTGGGTTTTTTTGTAAATTCTTCCCAAAACTCCACATAAGGGTCCTCCATACCTAACCAATCCACCTTATATAAATGAGTTTTCAATTTGACGTTATGAAAAATGATGAAATAACAAGATTAGACATTTATTGTTATACATGCTGCACACACTATATTTGCATATCCCGATAACTAAACATTATTTTCCTTATTTTATATTTCCAGATCCACCACAAATCTACCCATGGATGAAAAGGGTACATTTAGGACAAAGTGAGTATTGTTGATTTTATTTCCTAATGCATTCTTTCCCCCAAAAAATAACAAACTTAAATTGAGTATTTGCACAAACATTTATGAAGCACACACAAAAAAGAAAGAAAAATTATCGATCCAAAAAAGAAAAAGAAACTGAAAGCGATTAATCAAATTCAGAAAAAAATATTAAAAAAAAGTTTAAAGAACACCTACGGACAATTTATAAAAAATGTGTGAATTGATTGGTACTTGTTGTTTCAATCAGCAAACATCGATTTTCTTCTTATCTCTCATACACTGACTGTCCGATTAATAGATGAGGGAATATTGAGAAGATCTGTTTATTTTTCCAGATCATCATTAACATCATCATTTCATTCTCACACATAAATATCTATTAAAATTCTCTTCAATCGAATATCTTGCTTTTTTTTGTGTACAATATATTCCGCATCTAGTGTGATGTGCGAGAGATAAACAGCATAGAATCTTTTTTTTTTCATTTGTTTATTTTTTTTTTCTCTGCTCTTGTTTTTTAAATAAATCATTTTCGAGGGTCATTCTTTTTAAAAATATTTTTTGAAATTGGGGAATTAGAATGAAAGTTTTATGGTTGAGGGGGGTTCTGTGGATGTTTGGTAATGTCCACATGTACTTACTTTACTTCATATTGATCATCAATTTGACTCAATTGTGATTTCAAACTCTTCCTGACTTTGTTCTTGATACAATACTATCAACAACTGACACTAATAGCTCAACATTTCAAGGCTTATTAATTCAACTAGTAAATGCATTCGGATCGTGTATTATACCAGGAACAAACCCCCCCCCCCCCTCCCTTCTGCTCATCTTAATCCTTAAGCAAAAGTGATCACAATTTTACTTAACCCAATTTTCCAGCTACCTAACTTCCAAACAACCCCATTAGCTTCAGCTCATTTCACTCTTTTTGACGACTTCTGACAAACATTGGAGATTTATCTGAAATATTTGTAATTTATTTGCATTTCTATGGATTGTCTTGAAGATCTATTTTTGTATGATTTAGATGTGGTTTGATGTTGATGAATTGGTGTGGATGATTAAAGGGGCATTGACTGACTTTTAGAGGTCGATTTGTATGTTGACTGAATAGTTTTTGATTTTAAAATGCAAATTATAATTTTTATGAATTTTTGTGCAGCTGTGAATTGAACTAATGGTCTCTTTAGACATTGCTGCTCGACTTCAGCTTGAGTTTGGTAAAAAAAACAACAAAGTTGACTCGATATAGCCTTATTTCAGACTTCTATCAACAATACCTTATTCATCCTTATAATAAATTTACTCTGATATGCCAAGCAGCCTCTAATCTGCTCCACTCCAACACTATCCGACGACATTGACTCAAATAATCAGCAAATCTCCTTAAATATTCATAATTAACTTCCCACAAACCATTTAAGATATCTCGCTAACCTCAAAAAAAAACTCCATAATTAAGCAAAAATTCAATCAGATTACCTCACATTTTCAGCACATTACGGATAAACAAGTTCTAACAGACAAGAAGAAAAATTCTTAATGCTTAAAACCTATTTTTTTTTTCGATTTAATTAATCTCAAGCAGGTTGCGTACACAAAATTTCTGCAAATTATCATCAATTAATTTTCATCTTTTACTTCCTATCAATAAAATTGCTTCATTATTGGAATTCATTACAATTTTAAATGTTTGAATTTGCATGCAAATTTAACTGCTGTGGTTATGAATAATTTTTTTTCTAGTCAATTTCATCTCCATAGAACTGTCAGGTGTAAATTGCAATTTAATATTTATTTGAATAAAAGAATCATTAATCTTTTGTGTAGAAATTTAATTGTGGATGTATAGAAGTTTCGAAATGGGTCTGTTGTGGGTTTCGGGGAACTTGTTGGGAGTTATGGAATTTTGTGGAGAGCTTCTTAGGGTTCTGGGGGTTTGGATAGGTTTTAAATGTGTAAAAGGTTATTTTCAGTCAGATTCACCTTAGTATGTTCCAAACTCACCTCAATTTCAACTCAAATTCACCTTAACTTTAATTCAAACTCACCTTAATTTCACCTCAAATTCAACTTAAATTCACCTCAATTTCAACTCAAATTCACCCCAATTTCAAATCAAATTCACCCCAATTTCAACTCAAATTCACCCCAATTTCAACTCAAATTTACCCCAATTTCAACTCAAACTCACCTCAATTTCAAGTCAAACTCACCTCAATTCCAACTCAAATACATCTCAATTTCAACTCAAATTCACCTCAATTTCAACTCAAATTCACCTCGATTCCAACTCAAATTCACCTCAATTTAACATGAACTCACCTAAACGTGATCAAAGTTTGAGGTTATGTTACATAATTTTGTAAAAAAAAATTAGCACTGCTCCCTTCATGCTTAACGAGCCTGCTCAACTTTTAAGAATTCCAAACAAAAATAAACTTCACAAAAAAAAAAATTTCCCAGGTATTTATCATAACAAACATCGTGCTCAGTATGAGCAAAACGTTAAATTGTGCCTATATGCGGACGAATTGTTTTCTCACACAACAAAAAAATCCCCCCAAATGGATAGCATCACTGTACTTCTTCATACTAAACGTTATAGATATATTTATACATTATGTTACATTTTTTTTCTAACATTTTCAAGCCAAACGTCTTTTGGTGAAAAAATATTTTGGTAACACTTGAGTTCACGCTTGTAAACAATTAACATGATCATTCACATGATGACTAGAAAGAGAGAAAGAGCAAGTGAGAGGTTTGCATACTCACATCCATGTGTGTGATGAGCAACAAGTTTGTATTCATCTCAATCGTTGAATTTACATTCTTTTCTCATATATTTATGTATTTTATTTTTGTTCAGTAGTTTACAAGTACTTCAATAAACAATCTTGATGATATGTACGATGAGAGACATGAAAGAACTTTTCTTTCCTCTGCTGACTGCAATTTTCCTCTTTTATGGATTCGTAATGAGTGCAATGGAAGTAATAAAATAATGCACTTCAGTTGGAATTGTGTGATTTAATTTGACTTTAATGACATCGTAGATTCAAATGATAATTAATGGGCGTTGGGGTCTTTTGTGGAGAAGATTGAGGGAGAGTGGAGAGAGAGTGGAGGGGGTTAATGAGAATTTGGGGAGTAGGGGGTAGCTTGATGACATAGGCTTGTTGGAGGGGGGGGGGGGGGGGGGTATGAAGTATAATATAGACACATTTGAGTTGCCCAAATAGCACAAGTCGATTAATCGAATAGCAATCCAGCATCAAGTTGGAAGCAAGTGATGAGCCAGTTTTACGCGAAATTTGAGGGAGGCAATGGATCACAATTGATCTGAAGGGTCATCGAAGTATGTAAGTAAGTAAGCTGACGTAACTCTAACATGATGCCGGATTTCTATACGATTAACCGACTTGCGCTATTCGGGTAAGGTATTGATGAATGATAGTTCAAGGCAGAAACCTTAGCTACCACACCAATCTACATCACTGGTCTCATCAAATCTTATCAACAAATCCCCAGAAAAGAAAATATTCATATGAATAAAATTGCAAAATTATTGCATGGCAAGTTTATAAGGATACACAAGACATATAATTATTCATGCCATGAAAATACTCACATTCATAAACTTTGTAGTATGTAAAGTATAATAAACGAAAGAATGAAAAATAAATAAAATTTCAAAAAACAAATCAAACAAACAATTAAAAAAGCGAATTTTAATTGCTATGCGTTTTTAAAAAAAAAAAGTAAACCTCAGAAAAACAAACAAGCAGAGTACAGAGAAATTAAAGAGAGGAGATTCATTCATTACATACGTCGTGGTTTCACTTGAGCAACTCTGAAAATTCTTCAAGCCATACCTTTTGTAAATACTTATTTTATTTTTGGGGGTATGAAAAATGGCGTTATGTCTATTTGAATAATTAGCTCTAAATTCTTGCGTTCTGCTTTTTTTCCGTGAATCATGAATAAAATTTTTTTTTTGAGGCGGGCTTGGGTTACTAGAGATCTACATGCATTGTGGAATTAAATTTAAATGTTTAAAAACGGAATTGAGGTTGTTGCTTTGATGTTAATGTGAAGCAAGATTTGAGTATCAGGGATCAAGGAAGTGCTAAACTGAATGGTTGGGTTTAAATTGTTGATTTTGTGAATTTGAGACGAAATTGAAGGAATTATGCCTAAGGAAGGGGTGCTCGAATGTGACTGCTTATAAACGAACCTCATCAAACCTTCTTGAACCCACTAGAACCCCGTTGTACCCTTGTGGACTTTCTAGAAACCATCTGAACAACTTCAGACCTCCCTAGACCCCTTTGTCTGCTCCCATAGGAAGTCATGAGTTAAAGCTAACCTAAAAGCTCCTCACAAATCTAATAATTGCATCAGACTAGCTTCTGTCAACGCCCATCTCCCATTAGACCACTATTATCAGCATTATTACTTTCCAATCATCTCAAAAAGACCATCCAAACTGTAATTATTATGCAAGCATGTCGACTCTAATGTAACATTAATATAATTATTATTCGCGTAATTTCTCGCAAAATAATGATTAAATAAAAAAAACTTGAAGTTCAAGTAATAACAGCAGCAAAAAAATTATAAAGTATAAGATGATCATCAGCATATGAAAATAGCAAGAACATGATTATTTTATAAATGTAAAATTTATGCTAACAAGGAGGGTCGATCTTATCTATCATGCGATGAGGAAAATTGAAAATTTTTTCAGACCTAAAAAATTCATTCATTTTTAAATCATGATAATTTCGGCGATGTTGGCGACATTCCAAAAAGATGATGACGGAAAAAAAATATGCAAAATGAGAAGATGAAATTTTTTTTTAATATGTGAAAAAAATGCAAAAGAAGCACTTTGTCATGTCTTATTCTATTCCTTTTGATCTAATTTTAATTAATTGTTGAAGCTTATTTCTTCATTAGTACACATGCGGTTGATCCATAAATGA